CCGCCGGCGTCGGACCCGGCGGTGGCCACCGCCTCCTCCCCTCTCTCCCTCCAAGAGCAGGGTGCCTGCCCAGGTGGCCCCTCACACCACTGCCTTCTGCCATTAGGGGAGCACCCCGCTGGGACTGGAAGAGTCACCTCACAATCCCCAGTCTCGGCCCCATCTCCACTGGTATCTCGCTCACTGTTATTTTGGGACCTGTAAAAAGTTGCTTATCCCTACTGCGCATGACTTTGCAGATCTGACTGCGAATTTGTCATATTTACTTGCACCCAACCAAAACACAACCATCTTCCTAACAAAACAAACAAACAAAGAACCAAAACACACAAACAAGCAAACAAACAAAATCACTCTGATTCGGGTATATTTCAGGTTTAATCCAAACAAGATGACCAAAAGAACCACTGAACAGAATCCAAAGCCCAGGCACATTGCAAGGAGGTATTTGTTTTAGGCACATGACATTTCCTCACAGAAACCTGAATGAGATTTAAATGTACCTTTCAGATTAGACGAAAAAGAAACGTAACACGCCACCCGTCCTGTAAACAAAAGCCCATCGATAGTTTTGTAGCAACCCTATCCAATAGGAACGTTCATTTGAAGATCACAGAGCCACGCTTTAAACAAAGGCAAACAAAACATGCAAAACGTAACCAGTTTCTCCCACCGATTTCTTTCCACCGCACCCTGTGCCTCCAGTCCCCAGAAACCATAATTCATGTGTATTATAATTCTAAATATTTTCATAAGCAACAGGTCTTGCAAGACAATAATGAAAAAATCCCAACACACTGAGTTACACATTTCTAACTTTCTCATGTATATGCTGTATTAATCACTTATTTCCTATGCAACCCAGTGAAATGAACAACTAACACATGAATAGAAAGGCTTATTCTGTATTAACGACCACCTCACCAAGCCTCAGCACACCCACACCTGTGCCAGAGAGGGACACGCTACCAAGCAAAGGGAACCCTTGCAGACTAACCGCTGCAACACATCCACATCAGACTTCAGAATAGAGCCCTGGGGTGCTGGTAAAAAACACAATTAAATCACACCCATAACAGAAAAGTGAAAATTCTTATACAGTAAAACTACCCAACCAAGTTTCTTCAAGTCTGATTTTACCACAATTTGACTAGCATTTGCACATCATGTTCTTAGACAAGCTAGGTAAAAACAGCTCAGAAAAATATCATACATTTCTTCAGTGCTGCACTAAATATAATTTTGTATACATTGAGTCCTCCGCATCTTCCTCAGCCACTGCCAGCTGCACGTAGTGGGGGCAGAATGAAATATTTTTCCATTAGTCCTAGTTGCTGCTAGTCCTACTTATGCAGGCTTTAACAGTAACACAGAGGCAAAACTGACTACAGGAAAGAAAATGGGGGAAAAAAACCCTAGCTTAACAGCCGAGTTCAAGAAAGTTTAGTAACCCTCACTTTCAGCCACCAAGGCAGGGGAAGATACAACTGGGCTTCCTTAAAAATCACTGGGAATTCTTGTTTGTCTTAAAGACTAATTTATTAGTGTCACTAGTTTTGTATCAGCATTTATTAGTTCATTAACAACAACTGTGCAGGATGCTCAAGAGAGCATGTCCAGGAGAGGTGCCTCAGTACTCTGTCCAACTTCCCATCCCCAATCTTCCAGCAAGGGTACAGTGTGCTCTCCAGTCC